TGTTAAAAGAAGTGAGTTAAAAATATTAAATTATTATTATTGTACTAATATATATTGCTTTATTTTAATTTAACTTATATTATATATTAAATAAGTTTATAGATTATGTACAGTTAAAAAAGGATAGTGAAATTAAAGTACATGGACTAACTCATGACACTGCAACAAATGAATATATGTTAGCGTTTACTAATGAATTTGATCCTGAAAGAAAATTGGAGAATGGAAAATGTACACATTGCAACCGATATAACACGTCAAAAGCTTGGTGCCAGTCATGTGACCCTCGGAAAACAATACAAGGATGGACAAGTGGAAATAAGGATGTTGATGATTGTATTAAAGAATTTCAACTTAAAACTACAAAATATGAAGACATAATCGAATGGATTCCTTTTAATAGATTTGATAATATTCAAAACATTGATGATAAACTTTTAGCAACCTGGTCAGATGGAATACGATATATAAAAGATAAATACAGTGATAAATGTACACAGTCACGTACACAATCATATGAAGTAGAGCTTAAAGTATTAAATGGATCGCCAAATTCAGTAGATATGCTAAAAGAAGTAAGTTTAAAACATTTAACTTATCATTGTATTGTACTAATATATATTACTTAATTTCAATTTATATTATAAATTAATAAGTTTGTAGATTGCGTACAGTTAAAGAATGGAGAATTTAGTGTATATGGACTAACTCAAAACACATCCACAAATGAATATATGTTAGTATTTGCCAATGAATTTGATTCCAAAAGAAACCCACAGAATGGAAAGTGTGCAAATTGCAACCGGTATAACACTTCTTATGGTTGGTGTCAAACATGTGACCCTAAGAAATCAACACAAGGGTGGACAAGTGGAAATAAGGATGTTGATAATTGTATAAAAAAATTTCAACTTAAAACTACTGAATATTATGACATAATCGAATGGATTCCTTTTAATAGATTAGATAATATTCAAAACGTTTGTGATAGACATTTAGCAACATGGTTGGATGGAAAACGTCGTATTGATTGGAAAGATGAATGCAAACAGTCACGTATACGATCATATGAAGTGGAACTTAAAGCATTAAATAAATCAATAAATTTAATAGATATGTTAAAAGAAGTAAGTTAATTATTGTTAAAGAAGTAAGTTAATTATCGTTGTATTGTACTAACCATTATATCTTATATTTATATATTAAATAAGTTTATAGACTACGTACAATTAAAAAAGAATAGTAAACTTAAAGTATATGGACTAACTCAAAACACTTACACAAATGAATATATGTTAGTATTTGATGAATTTAGCTCTAAAAGGGATAGGAAAAATGGAACATGCGCCAACTGCAACCGATATAATACATCTCCAGCTTGGTGTCAGACATGTGACCCTCAGAAAACAACACAAGGATGGATAGGTGGAAGTGAGGATGTTGATAATTGTATTAAAGTATTTCAACTTAAAGCTACAAAATATGAAGATGTAATCGAATGGATTCCTTTTAATAGATTAAGTAACATTCAAAAGATCGGTGAAGGGGGATTTGGCTCAGTGTTTTCAGCAATGTGGTTAGATGGTAAAAGAATGGTTTCAGGCGAAGAGGAGAAATATACGCAATCACGTACACCATTAAGCATTGTTGCACTTAAGCATTGCCTGGCTTGCAAAAGAATTTTTTAAAAGAAGTAAGTTAAAATAATTTATTTATGACTTAAAATAGATAAATTATTAACACAAATTTATTTATTTATCAAGTTTAAAAGTTATGGAGAATGTAGATTGGCGGGTAGTGATCTTGAAGTGTACGGACTAACTCAAAACACAACTAATAAAGAATATCTAATAGTATTTCAATATGCAAATAAAGGAAGTCTTCATAAATTCCTATTATCTAATTTTATAGAGCTTAATTGGAAAAGTAAATTAAAACAACTTGTTGAAATATCAAAAAATTTATCGACAGTCCATAAAGCAAAATATGTTCATGGAGATCTTCATAGTGGTAATATATTGCAACACCAATATCTTAACGGACGTCTAAAATCTTATATTGCAGATCTAGGATTATCTAGAAAGAATGATGATTCGGGGTTAGAAGATGGTGTTTACGGCGTTTTACCTTATGTTGCCCCTGAAGTGTTAAATGAACGAATATATACAGTTGCAGCAGATATTTATAGTTTCGGTATCATTATGGCCCAAATGTCTACAGGAAGACCACCTCATTATGCTATTGAGTACGATGAAGCGTTAGCTATTCGGATATGTTGTAATGAATTACGTCCTGAATTTGCTGAAGGCACTCCCGAATGCTATATTCAATTAGCAACTCAATGTATGGATGCTAATCCTTCTAATAGGCCAACTGCATCCAATATCCATAGTGAACTATCAAAATGGTGCATTATAGTAGATTATAATGTTACAAAAAATGACAATGAATTAGCAATATTAAAAGCATTTCAGTCTGCAGATGAGATTATTCCAACATTATCGACCGAATTGACAATTTGTTCTAAAGATAAACTGACAAGTAAACTGCTTGACTTTAAAAATCTTTCAGAGCCAATTAATCCTCCATCCTCACATGGTAGATATTTGACTTTTATTTTCTCTGAATTAATTAATCAATAAATGTTTAATGACTTTTTGATTTGTTTAGTCTCCAGAAAATGTGATTTTTCAATTCCTGATGACTAATATAATGATATTTTATGTGAGTATTTAATAATTTTAATTATATATCTCTAGAGCCAATTTGGATAAATATATTTCTAATGAGACTTGGCTATTAATGTTTTTTGGACTAATTCGGTATAGTTAATTTAAAACAACTCTTTATAGAAATAGGCGATAAAAAGCGATTATGTAACTTTTTTTCAAAAATAAATTTACCATTTATAAAGACCAATTTGAACTGGTCTCAATAAAAATAATAATATAACTGGTTAAAAAACATATCCTTATTCAGTCTTTCTTGGAATTGATCCATCTTTATTTTATTTAAATTGTTTATCATCCAATATACTGCAAAAATCAGGCTTATTTATTTGTTTTTAGCTGTCGGAATTGTTTATAAAATTAAGCAGCAAGTAGATATTATCTAGAACCTTTAACTTTAAAATGTGCTAATTTCTTTATTTGTAGTATCAATATATTAAGTCACTTCTATAATAGTTCGCCATTGTGGTTTCGCTCTTTCGATGTTTTGTTAAGGTATTGAAGTTTTGTTAAGTTTTGACATTTCACCAAGAAGTTTTGTTGTTCGTCTTTTTGTGTTCCGCCTTTTGCCACTCTGGGATAGGTTTTGTACTATAGTTGCATTACGTGAAAACAACTTTTTTTATGGAGCAAAACATAAATTTTTGATGCTCTGCGATTGCTTTTTTACTAAAAAAAGTGATATTTTTTTGAAATAAAATTGCACATTTTTTTTTAAAAAAAAAGAAGTTTGTTATATGAATGAATTTAAAAAAAAATTATTATATAAAAAAAGTTTAGACATCTTTATTTTTAGAAAAAAAAATCGCGCGTGCAAAATAGATTTTGTTCAAAAAATCATCGCATGCGAAAATGGATTTATTGTACCAAGAAGCTCATTATGTGTAGTGATAGGAAATTGAGGATTCCCAAAAATCCGCGCTGGATAGATAATCAATAGACTGGGTTTTGAATTTTTCTTATTTTCGGAATAACCGTTAAAATTTATCATTTCACCGATAACTCACTTTATAGACCGATTGTCTGCAAAATAAACTCTTATGTGTAATAAGGTGTCTGAGATGACTGTCAGTAAAGCGACACAGATTCGTATTTTTAATATCTCATGGCAGCATTTTTTTTTAAGGCCTTAAAGCTTTCTTGATGATCTGCTCATAATGTCATTAAAATATTTGTGAATTTAGAGTACTGTTGCACGCAAACTACTACCTATAAGTTCACTATAACTGATTTACTTTAGCAATGGCGATTGATAACAAATAGTGACCAGGTTTAAGTAAAATATAAGATTAATTGCAGTTACGAAAGAACAACGGCCAAAAGTTATATGAAGATATTACTGAAGTTGACAACTGACTGAAGTTGCAACTTCTAAAGTTGCACTCGATCGAAATTAGATGGATGTAACTTCAGTCAACTGAAGTTGCAACTTCATTTACGATAAAGATACGATATCCATGTAAACAGGTTTATTAATTAGAGTTATGCGTATATGAAGACATGATTACTCTTTATTTACTGTAATGCGTCCCGAATAATTGATTCTCAAAGGGAATATATATCTAAGCATTATCACTTTATACCGTCTCGCAGGCAAGTTTGCCTGCAAAAACATAGTAACACCTGACTTTGGACGGTGTAAGGGGTGGTGACTAGCTATTAAATCTACTACTGTACTAGTTATATTATATCTAATATATCTATAAAATATAAAAGATATAACATTTCTATCAGCACTTCAGTATTTACCATTATTTATCACATTACGTCATTTACAGGGGTTAACAGTACACAAAAAAATAGACATAGAGTATGTTTTGCTACTGGAGATGTGACATAAGGAAGAAAAAAATAATTTTATTCTACCTATAAAGTTATTAAAATAATCTATTTTTAAAATGTTCCGATTAAAAAAATAAAAATTGATTAAACCTAAAGAAAATATATAATCAAATGTATTTTTTACATTATTGAAGTTTTTTTTTGGATATCTATTAAATTATTTGTTTGTATTTAACGATACTTTTAACAATTAAAAATAATAAAATTTGTATTTGTTTCGTTAAAATTCCATAGTTTTTTTTTTTTATACTTTTTTTTAGAATTATATGTATTTTCTAACCAGAATTTTTATTGTTCATTAAAACTACATCTCGATATTTTTTTTAAATGTCAATGAAAGGTATTTAAGTGTTATTATGATTATCTATTAAAAAAACAATAAGCATGATTAATAAACAAGTTGTATTATTCATAATAATGTTTATACACTTAGTCAATTTCAGTATCAGTTTCACCAATAACTCGTAAAAACACTTCCTCTAAACTGTAAAAAGAAAAAAAAAGATAAATTATTTTATTTAGTATTTTACCTTAATCGACAAGATATTTTTAACTTAAATTTTTGTATGATTAATTTACCTTGTTTGACTTAATCCCCAATTATCAATTCCATTTTCAGCTTTATCTCTTTCAATTTCTTTAAATATTAAAGAAATAAAACCAGGCCTTGCCTCAAATTCATATGAAGCACTTGTAGTAAATGAGTCTAATTTTTTTGCACTTAACGGTAATAATGTTTCTATATACCTAATTAAAGAGAATAATAAAAAACATATATTTTTAAGAAATGAAAATAAAAATTTCAAAGTTAATACAGAAAAATAGCAATACTTACACAGTAGCCTGCTCCAAATTTTCATTCTTACAACTAAAATTCAATCTAAAACCACGCCCATAAAGCTGTTTTAATCTAGATGGTGCACCCATACATCTTAAAGTTCCTCTTGACATAATTCCAATCTTATTACATAAAACTTCAGCTTCTTCCATACTTTGAGTAGCTAATATTATAGTACTATTGTTCTTAACACAATAACTATCTAATTTATCATCAGAGTCATTTTTTAAAGGTATTTTATTACAAATAATTTTCCAAATTGATCTTCTAACTTTCGGATCTAATCCTGCAGTAGGTTCATCTAAAAATACAAGAGCTGGTTCTCCTACTAATGCAATAGCAATAGAAAGTCGTCGTCTTTCATCATTATCTAAATTTTCAGTTAATTCTGATTTTAATGAAAGTAATTGAGCTTGTTTTAATGATGAAAGAACTGCTTCATGTTCTTTAGAGGATGGAATTCCACGAATACGAGCATAGAATAAAAGATGTTCTTCGACTTTTTTTTTTTAAAAAAAAAAAATTTTATGAATAAAAAAATTTTATATTTAAAATTTATACCAAGGATAATTATTTAAGATAAATTACCTGTGAGGTTATCCCAAAGAATATCACGTTGTGGACAAACACCAATGTTTCGATGAATATCACTTATTGAAGTGGAAATGCTTAAACCGTTTAATATTGCATCACCTTCTGTTGGTTTATATAAACCTGTTAAAACATTTAAAAGAGTTGTCTTTCCTATTTAAAAAATTTAGACAAGTTTAAAAAAAAATTAAAAAGATTAATAAAAAATTAAAAAATTAAATAAATAAAAGATTTAACATAAATTCTTTTGAAAATAGAATACCTGCACCACTAGGTCCCAAAAGACCAAAAGTTGTACACGATTCAGTAGTAAAAGCAATATCCTTAATAGCAACTTTTCCATTATTATAAATTTTACTTATATTCTTCACTACCAAAGGATTATCGCAATATTTATTTGATAAAATATTTGTTCTTTCATTTCTAACATCTTCATCTCCATTAACATATTTACCAGCTTCTAAAGCTGATGGAGTAATGAAACTACGAGATCGAAAATTAAATGCTTTGGCAAGGATGAAGTGCCATGTTCTGTTTACTCCGTATTCTGTTGGTATCATCTAGTTAAAAACATGTAATTTAGAGAATTCAGAGAATTCCGAGAATTCAGAGAGATTGTAAAAGAAAAAAGTTTAATAATAATAAAGAATAAAAGAAAGAAATAAAATAAATTAATTAAATATATTTACCAAATAGAAATAGATCGTTAAAAACATCAATATACAATATTCAAGAGCTAAAGAAATAACCGAATTAAAAACTTCGCATCCAGGATTTAAATCACTTAATTTCATTGGTAACATATTATTTAAATAACTTGAATGATTAATTATTGATAAAGCTCGATAAAAAGCAAATGGAGGCCAAATAAAATAAATCACAGGGGCATTAGCATTATCTATTGGACTGTTAACTTGTTCAATTGCGAATGAAAATATTACACCACATAACACTATTACGAAAGTAGTTGCCAAAACATTTCTACTTCTTTGAAAAAAAGTGGAAAATAAAAATGCCATGGCAATTTGAATGTGTCCCCAAATAGAGAATAAAATTGCGAGTAGCCAAGGATCAGTTAATGTGAATAATGTCATTCCAAGGAAGTATCCGGAGATTACTAATATCGCAGTAGATATGGAATAAAGAATGTAGAAATGAAGATAATGAGTCAAATAGTAAACAATAAGAGATAATCCATGCATTTTCATCATTATAGCAATCATTTCTTCTTTTTCTTTAACTAAAATAGTAACAAAAGTTGGTAACAAAAAGGAAAGACCAAATGGATAAAGAATTACTCCAACTATTGTAGAAGTAAGTTTACTAAAGTCAGATAGATCAATATAAAGATGTGGCATTGAACGAAATCCGGTAGTAATTGTAGGTCTTGTTGTCGTTCCATTAGTTTCAAGAACAGTTCTCAGAATCGCATTACTCAATTGACTTTGTTGAGCAACTCTTCGAAATCCAGCACGTGGAAACGAAGCTATAATGTAAAGCCTTTCATCAGAACCAATTTGTAAAGTATAATTCCATTGTTTTCTAAATTTATCACCAATGTTATCAAATAAAAGTGAACCCCATGGAATTTGATTTATCAAGTTGGCTTTTGTTGCGGTAAAATTATTGGAATCAGGATTAAAAGATCTTATCTGCTCTATAACATCAAATAGTTGATTTTTCAATACCAAATTCATCTGTTCGTCAGTTGAATTTGTATACCATTTTTGAAAATATGGAAGCGGAAAATATTGTTTTGTAGCATTTATCGGTGGGTATTGCGAAAAATTTGAATAATATTGAGTATCAATCCTACTAAGAAATCCTAATAATTAACAATTAGCACATGAAGATTAAAACAGTTAATATAGATATTAATTAAATAATATTTTACCAGTCCCATAGTTAAAATTATTTATAGGGGAAAATTGGGATGGACTCGTGATTTGTGTTGTATCTAATGTTCTATCACCACTAAATACGTTGGGAGCATCTCGTACGTACGCCCATGGGAAAGTTTCTTTTGCTAAAAGATACCTATAATTATTCATTAGGGCAGAAGGACCAAAATAACCAAATAGTGGCTCCGGTGAAGAAGTTCTATATCCATTATCAAGAAAGTAATTATCAATAAAATAATTATCAATAAAGTAATTATCAATGAAATAATTATCAAAGAAGTAAGAGGTAAAATTACAAATTATTATATTAAAAATAAAAAATACATACGTATCACGTTTTCGTAAAAAATCGCTAGAAACTTGAGGATCATTTTCATAAGGAGCTCTGTAAGGATAATCTCTGCCGAACCAAAAAACGCATTCATTTACCACATTTTCAACATAATCCAAATTATAATTTATTACTACTTGATTTGGTAATGCATTTGGTGTTTGAACAGATAATGTTCTTGGAATATTAGGATCCCTATCCCTTATTTGATATTTACTCCCGTCTAATCTTGATGCGTTTAGACTTGAACATAGCAAGTATTCTAAGTAAAATATTATTGTTAAGTTGTTATCATACAAATAAACATATCAAAATTAAAAGATATTATTTTGTACTAAAATTTAAAATACCTGGAGGGTCAGGAATTATTATTTTCATAACAATTGCGGCAAAATAAGCAATGGCTACCATTGATAATGGAAATATTGTTACCCAAAAAATATTTACGCATTTTTGTCTCTTTTGATATGATAATGTTTTTCTTGACTAGATTTCAAAAATAAGGATAATTTAATATTGACAATAGAATTTTCAACATTAACCAGCATTTTACGTCAAAGCTAGTAAATTTTAAATTTAGTCAAAATTGTTTAAATACTTACCAAAGCACGAAACTGATAACTCTTATTTCTTGTTAATATATGTTTAGTCACAGCAGCTATATCCATATTATTCTTTTCTTTTGCTAAATCATGTTCATTTGTTGGTATAGCATCGATTTCATTAACTTCATTCGAGAAGTTGTTTAATGTCGAATCGTTACTTGCTAAATAAGTCGAATGATTGGAATTGTTGCTTGCGAAATATGCTGAAGTGTTGCTTGTGAAATCTTCTCCTTCGTCTTCGCTTATAATTTCCTGGGATGACAGTTTTGTGTTGTTTTCAGATGACATATTTTGCACATTATTCACAACATCAGGATTTCCTATTTTAATTTCTAGTGATCGATCATTCTTTTACTTCCAATTTAACATCCCTATTTTATTCTTTTTTAATCCACCCTTTTTTTAATAAAAAAAAAACAGTTTCGTTTTTACCGAATATGCTTATTTTAAAAAATTCTAATAAAATCATGTTATTTTATATATAGAACCAAATGATAGCTTGGATTTTTGATTATGATCGGATTTAATTAATATTCATAATGTACCATAATATATTTCCAATGATAACCCCTATCACTATTACTATATGGTTCTTTTTACGTTAAATCCGAGATCCTTATCTGGTAAGAGATTCATCCATGTCATGTGGGTAAAATTAAAATATGTAAATCACTAGTGAGAATGTAAATCAGATCAGCAAAAAGAAACCAATTATTTTGACGAAACAATATTAGCGTTAGCAAAAATATGAAGATCAAAAGAAAACTCTTATGATAATTCGGATTTATTCGATTAGTTCCATAAAATGAATGGAAACGCATTCAAGTAATTGTTTCCACGTATAATTTTTCATAAAACAAATTGTCTGAATTATTCTTTTGATGAGTATAACGTAATAAACGTATGTATTAATGCTCATATTGATCAACTTATATTCTGATCGAAAATTTATGACCTTATAAGAGTCTGAAACAACTTAATGTTTCACAGTGAATTCTAAAATGAGTTTAATTAGGATTAGGGCTTGTATATGGTGCAAATTGTACCCCTGTTGTGCCTTTAAGGCTGTTTAAATATCTGTTTACCTTTTTAATTTGTTAATACTCCCATCTTAAAGTAAACATATGTATAAAGTTTCGAATCCATACTATAATTTTATTGACACAATGGCACTAGACAAAATTGCAAATAACACTTTAATCATTCGGGTTTTACTTATTACTACTAGCATTATTTTACTTATTACTACTAAGCATTATTTTCTTCTTATATATCGTACCCATTATTTTAGGTTTGTCTGACTGACTTTTAATTACATTAATTGTCATGCATTAAGATCATGCATCAACTATCTTATTTAAATCATTACTCCTTTGATTCGACCGTAATTGATAATATTTCATTTTGACATTTTTTTTAACTTTGTTTTATGACCATATGAAAATATTATTGGCCATTTCAATTCATTTATAAAATTTATGTTTTACAAGGATGTATGTGTTATCGACAAATTGACAATAAAGCAATTGGGAATTTGAATGCAGTGTTGTTTTAATGACTTGAGGAAACCTCAAGACTTAAGACTTAAAATATATCTTAATTTCCGTATATATTTAAGGTACGCACAAATTACTAAAATTATTTGAAAATGGAAGACTACCTTATAAGTCAATGTCCTTTAATGAGCGCTACTCACTTGAATGAATTTCATTTACCGTAAGCATTCTATATTCATTACAGCGTAATGGCATTTAACTGATTTATATAATTGTCAGATATTATACTCTTATGACTGGTATGACTAGTAGTGCTGTAACAAGTTACAAAAAAAGCTTTAGTTAGTTATGACTTAAGCCGTAAAATCATTGAGACATCATTGGGACGATTCGTTTGCATTTCTACTCATGACTAGGGATGCTAGTTTAATTTAATACTATCTAAGTCAAAAATAATGCGCCGAGATGTTATTTTGACCAATGTCCTAAATTAAGCTTAAACTAGGCCAAAAAAGTCGAAATTACACCTCTGCATGTTATTACGTGTAAATACGGTAACAATATTATCCGGGTACTTGGACATCAGTTAACTTTTAATAGGAAAACGGATCGTATCTCTACTCGTGACAACCATGGGACCTACATTATAATATCAGTATAAACTACATATGGGTCATTTGCTAGAAAACAGTTTGATTTTGAGAAAATTCGATTGAAATTGTGTTAAACAAAATTTCAATTCCAGAATTTTGATTTATTTATAGGTACGCACGTACAAGATCACATGCTTGAATTCAATTCGCAAAATTGAATTAGTAATCTTCCGATTGGTTGTTATTCTATTTTTAGAGTATTATATTTCGAGGAATTGATTTTTCAAATAAAAAATCTCCGTATTGATTGAGCTGATGTATAATAAAGATTGTGCAGAACCAGTACTTTAACTTGAATTGCAAACATTAAATTCGTCCTAGCAAACGTCCCATATGTTATAAAATAAGAATTTCCTAATAATATTAAATTTTGATACGCTGACCCTATTCCGCATCCACTTGCACGACAACCACCCTAGCGTCGCCCAAAAAAATCAGTTACGTACCTCATAGGTAGAAGTTTGTCTGATTGGCTAATAAATTCAACTTAATTTTACATAATTTATACAGTTTAGAGTACTTTTTTAAAAAAACGAAAACTAATCATAATGAAAAAATAAGCCGTATAAAAAATTTCATTAGAGCTGTAGGACTCCATGGCAAAATAAGATCTAATTTTTGTCCGTTTAAAAAAGTTACTTTAGTATTACTAAGCTAATTTTTTTAAACGGACGATAATTAGACCTTATTTTTGATTATGGAGTCTTATAGCTCTAATGAAACTGTATAATTAATGTAAGCTAACTTCTGCCTATGATTACGTACCGGAATTTAAAATTAAACATCGGTACTTAATTCAAATAGGGATAATGACTTATCTATAATAAATATATATATAATGCATTTTACTTTATATTCGCTATACGTGCATATATTGTATATATGTATATTCTTTTTTTTTATAAGCGCTGCGTCCATTAATTTACGATATAATAAAAATAAAAAATTTCGAAAAAAGTATCATTACGACGCGTTAGCGGAATTAAGCAAACAATTGGTCACCAAATCCAATCATTTGGTCCCAAATTTAACTTTTGGTTACCAAATTATATATTAAACAATCAATATTAACCTCGGAAAAAATTTTCAGACCTCTAACCCATCCTCCTCACATTCTGACCCATCTTCCCATCCCCGACGCATCCATTGGACATAGGAATTTATTAAATGACGCATCGCAACAAAATCTATATTTAAAAATTAGTGGTCAAAATTTTCAAATTTTGGGGTAGTTTACAAATGTGTCGTAATGTAAAACTATTATCCTTCTATATATAGTGTCTAATTTAATTTTCTTAATAAACAACTATTTCGACAATTAGTCTGCTAAAATTATTGTCGAGACTATTTAAATTCTTAAATAAAATACATTAAAGTAATTATTTGTGAGAGTTCATGTAAAAAATACGGCAACGGCCAAATTTTTTGCAAAATTACTTTTTTCCAAAAATAATTAGACACTCATGTATATCCTTCTCGAAGTTTTTCTTTAATAGGCCAATCGCGTTTACTATTTACTTCGTTGAGAAAACGTTTCCAGATTTTCAATAAACTTTATGCAGTGGCAATCATAAATATTGCAACAAAAAAAATTTAATTAGATCGTATTATCTTTCGCAATTCTGGATGTATTTGTTATTCAATTTAAATGTTGCATTACTTTTGCTTATTTTTACAGCAACATGATAAAATAAAAAAATTTTTTTTACGCCAAAAAAATTTTTTTTTGCTATCTAATAATTTTCAGTTTTCACCATCTGGTGTAACTGCCTCAAGCTTTAATTATATCACAAATTATTTTGATACTGAACAAATCAACCTTGTGCAAGTTTCAACATTAATCACCTGCCAGATTCTTTGGATTTTTTCTTAAAGGTCTTTCTTACTTGAAATTGACCAAAGAAGTCCTTCAAATAACAATCAACTTCACATTACAGATGTTCAATCAGATTAAGATCAGAGGATTGGGGTCAATTAAAAAACTTGATCTTGTTTCTTTAAACTACTATTACATTAGATTATCATATAACAAGATGTACCTCTTGTTAAAATATGATCTTAATATCAAAATTATAATTCCTAATAGTTTATATTAAATCTTCATAAAGTATTTTCTAATATAATTTGTTATCTATCATGTATCAACCTTATAATAGCTATCAACATTAAAAAAGAAAAAGCAATCTCAAATCATAATTAATCTATTATCAAATTTTACTATAGTTTTAATATAAAAATAATTTAATGTTCTCTATAATACTTTTAATAGTATTGTTTTTCATCTAACCCAAAAATTTAAAATTATGATTTATCAGATCAAATTATCTTAAACAAGTTTTTAATAATTCAATTTTAATGTTTTTTTTATAAATTCAAGATATTATTTTAATGATTATTATACAAGTATAATATTTTTTCTTTAATCCTGATAACAAACTATAGTTACAAAGTATATAATAAAGAGTTGTTACTAAAATTTACATATTTCATTTACTTTAAGGAGTGTTCTCACTTTAGTAACAGTAGAACAGCAGTAAAAATTAATAAAATTTACTATTCTTCTTTGGATTGGTTTACACAACAAAATTAAATAATCAACTTTTCTGAAATCTTTAAGAGAATATTTCACTAATTATTTTTTTTTGATATACAAGATTATAAAATAACTAATATTGTAAATTCAATTTAGAAATTAGAACTAGTTTTAATAATTCAAGTTTATCTTATAAATTTTGAAATATCTTAAAAATTTATTCAATTAAATTTTAATAAATTCTAAAATATCACAAAATTTATATAATAAACTTGAATTATTAAAACTGGTTTTAATTTCTAATCCAACTTATGACTTTTGTAATATATTTTTTCTAATACAAAAACAATATTTGAGCTTATTAAACAAGTGATGTTCAGTTTTTTTTTGTTTTTTTTTGATTATTAATAAGTACTAATATTGTACAAAATATAAAATTAACAAAAAATTTATATATTTATATTTATTTGCATAGTACAAATTATATTATTTAATCTTCAGCAAAAACAATCAAAAATAATGCAATACATGTTTTATAATATATATGTAATTATTTTCATTTTAATAAAATTAATGTTTATTTAAATTTTAGAATTAAAAATGATG